TGATGAACTCCCACAGCTTTGTTTAGGAATACCTTTATCTCTCATTTGTGAAAGACAGCTTTGCCTGTTATGGTATTCTTGGTTGACAGCTTTTTTGCTTTCAATATTTTGAATACATCATCCCACTCTCCTGTTCTGTTGAAAAATTCACTGATCATTGTAAGGGGGTTCCCTTTTATGTAATTTATTTCTTTTCTCTTGCTGCTTTCAAAATTCTGTCTTTGAATTTTGCCAATTTAGTTGTCATGTGTCTTGGTGTAGCCCGTTTTTTGGTTCAACCTCTTTGGGATCCTTTAGGCCTCCCTCATGAATCTGGATGCCTATTTCTCATCCCAAATTTGAGAAGTTTTCAACCATTGCTTAAATAGACTTTCATTCTCTTTCTCTTCTTCTGGGATTCCCATAATGCATATATTGTTTCTTTTTATGGATGTCCCCAACTCCCAAAGTCTTTCTTCGCTTTTTCATTCATTTTCTTTTTGTTTCTCTGGGTAGATAATTTCAAATAACTTATCTTCTATTTTATTGATTCCTTCCTCTGCTTGGTTAACTCTCTTGTTTAAGCTCTCTTTTGAATTCTTCACTGTAGTCATTGTATTCTTCAGCTCTAGAATTTCTTTTTTTGGTGGTTTCTATTTCTTTTGTTGACTTATCTTCTTAATTTGTTTATGCATTATTTTTCTAATTTTCTTTAGTCTTTGTGTTCTTGTTTACTAAACTACTTTAAGAGGATTATCCTAATTATTTGTTAGTTTATAGATCTCTATTTCTTTAGGGTAGTTATTGGAGCTTTATTCATTTCTTTTGGTGTTGTCATGTTTTTCTGATTTCTCATGCTTCTTGATTCCTTACATTGGTATTTGTGCATTTAAGCAAGCAGTTTCCTCTTCCAGAATTTGGAGGTTGCTTTTTACCTTCACTAGTCAGCTGGTCGTATTCTTGGGCAGGTGGGGCTTGCTACTGGTGTCTCTATTAGGGCAAGGCCACTGCGTGTGTTCTGAGGTTGTGGGGAATGTGTCTGGCTGGGTTCTGTGGTTGGGTGGGGTACTTGGCTGGGCCCCTGGTTTGGGAGGGGCTTTGGTTATGTCCCATGGTCAGATTGGGCCACTAGCCCTGAAGTCACCTCTGGCTGGGTGAGGTTACAGTCTCTTCCCTGGCAGGGCGGTACTACTAGTTGGGCACCATGATTGGGCTAGCATGGGTTGGGCTCCACAATTGCTCCTGGTCAAGTGAAATCTCAGGCTGTGCTTCCCAAGTGGATGGTAATGATGGATGGGCTCAATGTTTAGGTGGGGCCACAGACTGTGCCCTGAAGTTGGGTGGGACTAAAGGCTGGACTTCACTGCTGAGTGGGATTGTAGGCTGGGCTCTGTGGCTGAATGCTGCTGTAAGTTGGGCCTGTGGCTTGGTGGTACTGTGGGCTGGGCTCTGAGGCTTCCCAGGATTATTCAGGCTCCTTGGTTATACCGAGGCAGAGACTATGTTCAACAGTTGGGCAGGACTGCTGACTTGGCCCTCTGCCCAAATGGGGCTGTAGGATGGACTTCTTGGCTATCTGGGTTGAGGCTATACTCACTAGTTTGTTGTGGCTGTGAATTCTCTGCTTCAGTGGGGTAGTAGTATGGCTCACTGACTGGGAACCCAAATCAGGCAGAACTGCCAACCGAGCTCTCTGGCCAGACAGGGCCACTGGCTCCACGCTGTAGATCAGCACTGCTGCTGGCTGGAGTCTTTGCTGAGGTGCCCTGCAAGCAGGATCATGGCCTACCAAGGTTTGAGGGCTGCTTACTGTAAGACTTGTCCCACCCCCCTTCTCCATCTCTATCTGATCCCCAGTGGCCTCTGTGAGGCAAGACCTGAGTGGGCTTGTCAGGAAGCATCCTGCCACTTTGGGTGAGCTGGATATCCACCTTGGGCTCTCTTTGCCTACTGGAGAAACTGTAGACCTTGGTGGGGAGACACTGTGGATACAGTGCTGTGTTAGTCTGGAGGAAGGGTGATGTAGTCAGAATGTAGCCATTTCTCTTATCCTTCTAATGTCCTCAGTCTCCGTTTTTCAGAGGGGTGCTTCAACCCCATCCTAGGGTGCTAGGATTTTCACAATGGTGACTTGTCTGTTGCTAGTTGCTAGTTAATCTTGGGTTGGGGACTGAAGTTCAAAAGGACCTATGTCACCATCCTGATGACCTATTGCAGTTCTGAGCAGTCATCAGGTGTGACAGAAGTTAACTTCAGTGTGCAGCCAAACTATGGGTGGTTTGTTCATTTAAGCCATACTAACAGGCAGCTTGTACTTCTTATTGAGCCAGAGACTGGAAACTAATTACTCCCTTATAAAAGTCAAGGATAAAATAGTGTTTTTACAGTTTCAAGTTTGTGCACAAGGAATATTTCTTGGCTTAGGAAGCATAGGTTTATATCAAGCCTGCTGATCCTACAGGAAATGGGACTGCTCAAGAAGTGTATCTCTAGCTGTTATCTTTAGTGTAAATAAAACTGGAATTACTCTTAAAAGCTTCATGACGTGTAGTGTCAAGGATATTTGGGGAGAAAAAGTACATTCTGGGCTCAGCTGGTTCTTGAAATGACACTGAGCAAGTTCTTCAGGGAGCAAAAAAGGATTTAATGACATGAAGGAAGAGATGAGAACTTGAGTAAAATGATTCTGGGCTTTAGAACCAGATGGAAAGAAAAGGACAAATGTTCCCCTGTAGCTATTGATCTATCAATAATACAAAACTGCATAGTCACCTCTTGTTAACTGTAGGAAGGGAGACCAGCATTTTCTGATCATTTACTCTCTGGCAAGCTCTCTGCTGATGTTTTGCTATATGGTGTAGAATTTCATTTCCACAAGTAAGAGGGAAGGTTGGTGGTAGCTACCCCATTATAGGATTGATGGAACTATATGTTAGATTCAGTGGCCATGTGTCCAGAATTAAGTCAATAGACCACTTGGGCACATAAGTGACTAGTCTCTTGATTATGGTTAAAGAAAGGCCATTGGAAAACAATAGTTTAGTTGGCAAACTTTATCTACAAAGGGCTAGATATTAAATATGTATTTTAGCCATTGCAGGCCATATGGTGTCTGTTGCTATGGCTTAATTCTCCTCTTGTAGCAGGAAAGCTGCTATATGTAATTTGTAAATAAATGGGAGTGGCTGTGTTTCAGGAAAACTTTATTTATAAAAACAGGCTTTGGGCCATTATTTGGTGACCCCTCATTAGAGGAACAAAACTTTATGAGAGAAGTTTTTAAGGCTGGTGTGTTTTATCAGCAGGAAGCATGAATACAAACTTCACACTTGGCACATGATAACTGCTCCATAATTATTTAACAAGCCAGATCCATGAGCCTATATTTCTGCTGATTTAAATAAATACAAGTAGACTTTAGCTGCATTATAATAAAAGAGGTTAGGTATCAAAAAGGTTCTTTTTAAACTAGGTTTATTAGATCTTGTCAGAGGAGCTTAAAGGCTTGGGAAGTCTTTATCAATAGGGGAGCTGCATGATGTGAGTTAAGCTCAGTCCTATTTGAGGACACAGGATTTAAGGCATTTTAAGATGTACTTTTAGGACATAAAGGCAGAGAGATGTTTAAGAACTATGAAGGAACAATCAGTAAGTCATAGTGATTAATTGCATATAGTGATGTGGAAGAAAAGGTCAGGAATAGCCCCAAAGGTCTGAACTACAGTAATCTAAAGAAAAATGGTGTTGTCATCCATAACAGGGATGCCATGGCTGAGCTCCAGGGTTGCAAGAAGACACTTTGATTGGATTTTGCACCATATTAAAGATAGAATGCATCAAATCCATCCCTTCCTCTTTTCTTGCCCTCCAGTCTTCTTCTACAGTGTCATATTATGCCTGTGTCACCAGGGAAAATTTCTGGTTTGGTCGTTCAACCAAATCAATATTTATGGGGCATCCACTGTGCACCAAGCATTGCCAGAGGCATTGCATCCATACACTTGACCACTGCTTTGCTTACCTCTTTGCATGTTTAGGAAATGAGTGCAGAGTTGGTGGATTTTAACTACTCTAGAATAGATTCTTCCTCCTGTGTTGTATTTGGTAAGTAACTCTGCCAGTTAGTCTGTTTGGTCACATCTATAGCACAAGACTCCTCTTGTAGACCAAACTCCCATATTTTCTGTGGTTGCTTGAGAAGGAAGATTCTGAGCAAAGAATTAGAAAACTCTGTGCCATAAGGTTCTAGCATTCAAAATAGAGAATCTCAAGCTTATCAGGCAAGGAAACTGTCAAGGCCAATTATCTTCATACAGATAATTTACTACTGTCCAGAGCAGAAATGAACCTGAGCCTTTGGAGTTGGCAGTACTCAGCTAATGGTCGCCTGAGAGGATTCTGGAACATAAGGCTCTGGCATTCCACCCTCTTAATATTTGATGTAAGTCCCCAGTCAGATCACAGGCAAACACAGCTCCTCTTGGTTAGTAGTAGCATGTCTACTATGGGCAAAGAAATTTAATATGGACTCTGAGAAGGAGATAATTTTAGGGCAAGTTTTCAGGTGCGGGCATGATTTGAAGAAAGGAATTTGGATGGGTGAGGGAAAGTGTCAAGGTGGCTTATTAGAAGACAAAGTAGGTACAGGGAGGGGGTGAGAAACAGGTGACTGTGAGGTCGGCATGGCAGCGGGAGGTCAGCAGGAAGAGCTGTGCTGTTCCACCAATGTCTCTGGCATGCTCCTAGTCACGATGGGCAGAGGGAGGGTGAGTTACTCTGGGTCCTATGATCATTGACCTCACTCAGAAGGTGGTCTCTGACAACAGTACTTAGAGGGCTCAAGAAACACCCCTCCTCCACAAAGTCTAACCCAAATTTGACTGTTATAAGAAGCAAAGCAATCCAGCGTAACTCTGGCTGATTACCACTGAAGGCTCTGTAGAAATAATAATAATGAGACTCCCTTTATCAAAATATAATAAAACTTCCTACAAACACAATGCCAAAAATCTTGGAAGAACTGTTGTCACCTGAAATTCCTTTCAAGTCAGCCTTGAGTGGATCAAAAAGATCGGTGACTCCCCAAGAATTTAAAATATTTTTTAAGTTGAAATGATTTTGGATCCTAAATCTAAAAAACAAAAACAAACTATGAACTTCCATTTAAAATTCTCATTCAATATACTTTTATATGCACCGTATAACCTCCAAACTCCCAACTTTGAATGTCAGGGTTCTCCAGGCTCATTTCCAGTTATATCTTTTATTGCTCCTTCCCATAAACCCTACTCACTAAATAATCCAACCACACAGCGCTCTCTACCACCTCTGTACATTTGCATCTGCTGTTCTTTCCAGATGGTCTTCATCTTCCTTGACTTCCTTTGAATTACTATCCTTTCCTCTAAGCCCAATTCAATTGTTATCCCCTACTCTCCAGCTGTTTTGTGACCTTTGGTTATTAAAGCCTCATTTACACTTTGTTCTACTCTTTTGATGTACAAAACATTTTGCTTCCTATTATTGTTATTTATGACATTATAAGCTACTTGAGAAGAGAGGCTACCCCCTGAATTTTTAATTTTTCTAATAATAATTACTGAGTGCTTACCATGTGCTAGGCACTGAGAAAAGTATTTTATGTGGATTATTTAATTTCATGTTCACATAACTATGTTATTATTATCCTCATTTTACAGATGAGAAAACTGAGGCTTAAGAGTTAAAGAAACTTGCCCAAGATGACAATGAGTGCGCGGTGGAGCTCAACTCAAATCGAGGCTGGCTGAGTGCAGAGCTTGCCGTCTACATTTTGCTACCTCCCATCCCATGTGGCATCTCACACATAGTAGGTGCAGAAAAGTTGTTGACTGAGAATTAATAGTGTCTCATTCAATATGTTTATAATTGATAAGACATATTTTTATGTTTGCTGTGTGCAGTGTGCCTTTGACACAGCAGGGAAGGAATTCAAGTTAAAGCTTTGGTTTTCCTAGTAAGTCCTGAGAGCAGAAAGAATGAGCACACCAATTTTGCAGTATTTCTGCAAAGGCATGATATTTTAAATTTTACTGTTGAGGCATCTTTAGGACTGCTGACATTATTTTTCTTTGAAAATAAAAAAGTTTAAAGTAAAATTTAGAGGTCTTTTTCTATAAACCATGCAGGACTTATAGGAGAGTAAAAATACTGGACAAGACCATTTAATATCAAAGGTCTTCATTGCCCTACAAGACAACGTGACCGATATTTTAAACAAAAGTACCAGATTTTCTCATACATGGATGTTTTGGATCTTCAGCATAGTTTCCAAAAAGGGCACATGCTTTTTCCAACTCAATGCTGACATTGCTAAAAATAACTTTGATCATCTCTTCTGAAATTTCTCAAATACTTAAAATACATCTTTTGAAGACTTTTAATGCTGAAACAGTGGTTAAGAGTATGAACTCAGGAATCTAGTGCTGGGATTTGAATCCTGGCTGAGCCTCTTACTAGCTGAGGGACCTGGGACAAGTTACTTTACCTCTTTTGTCCTCAGTTTCCTCATTTGTGAAACAAACATAATAGTAGTACTTTTTCTTAGCTTTGTGAAATAATGCTTGTAAAGTGCTCAGAACATGCTCAGCATTGCTCATGCACTTTATTGTTACCATTGTGGTTTTGTTGTTTCTGATGGTATCGAGAAAGAGCTAAGGGGTGTTTGAAATCAAGTACAGTGATTATGGTAGATGATAAAACTGTAATATTATTTTTAGTGACTAAAGATAATAGTAAAAGTGAAGTACAACTATAAAAGATGAGTGATTTTTTTTCTTTTCTTGTATGGCTATGAAGGCCAGTCCAGAAGAAATACTACAAAAATACCTTGAGTTAAAAAACAAAACAAAAATACCCTTTACCAAAACTGGACAAGGGCATCACAAGAAAACTGCAGGCCAATATACCTTATGAATAGTGGCAAAAGTCCTCAAAAAATACTAGCAAATTGAATCCAGCAACATATAAATCATACCATGACCAAGTGGGATTTATTCCAAGAATGCAAGGTGGGTTCAACATGTGAAAAATCCATCAGTGAAAAACACCATATTAATAGAAGAAAGGACAAGGGCCACATGGCCATCTCAATAGATGCAGGAAAAGCATTTGACAAAATCCAACACCCTTTCATAAACACAAAAACAAAACACATTAAAAAAATTTGGAATAAAAAGGGAACTTTTTCAACCTAAAAAGGGGCACCTACCAAAAATCCACAACTTAGCATAATACCTAATGGTGAAGAACTGAATGTTTTCCCCTAAGATCAGGAACAAGACAAGAATGTTCACCACTTCTATTTAACCTTGTACTGAAGGGTATACATGGAAACGATGAAAGAAAAAGAAATAAAATGCATCCAGATTAGAAAGGAAGAAGTAAATCTATCTCTATTCAAGATGCCTTGGTCTTGTACATAGAAGATCCTAAGGAATTCACACACATACAGAAAAAACTAGCAGAGCAAATAACTGAGTTCATCAAAGATCAAGATACAAAAATTAACTCTGTTTCTTTATTCTAGTGATGAACAATCTAAAATTTCATATATAATAACATCAAAAGGCGCGAAAGTCTTACAAATAAATTTAACAAAAGCAGTACACAACTTGTTCACTGAAAACTAAAAAATGTCATTGAAAAAAAACTAAAGTAAATGAAAGACACCGTGTTCATGAATTGGGGCACTTAATTGTGTTAGAAAGAAATATTGCTCAAATTGATCTACAGATTCTACACAGTCCTTACCAAAATCCCAGCTGCTTTTTTTGGTGGGGGCGGGGGGGGCACAGAAACTAAATTAATTCTAAAATTCATATAAAAATGCATGAGACCCAGAATAGTCAAAACGATCTTGAAAAAGAACAAAGTTGAAGGACTTATAAGCTTCTTGATTTCTAAATATACTAAAAAAGTAGTCATCAAGACTGTGTGGTACTTGCAAAAATATAAACATTTATACCTATAGAAAAAAATTTAAAGTCCAGAAATTAACGCGTACATTTATAGTCAATTGATTTTGACAAGGGTGCCAAGAAAATTCAGTGGGATTTATCCATAAATGGCATTGAGACAATTGGATAGCCACATGCAAAGAATGAAGTTGGACCTTTACCTCATACCATATACAAAAATTAATTAAAAATGGATCAAAGACCTAAAATAAGAGCTAAAAATCTTAGAAAAAACAGAGACATAGATCTTTGTGACCTTGGTTAAGCAATAGTTTCTTACATATTACATTAAAAAAGCACAAGAAAAAAATAAAAAATAAAATGTCATCAAAATTTTAGACTTTTGTGCTTCAAAAGATACCATTAAGAAAGTAAAATGACAGCCTACAAAATGAGAGAAAATATTTACAAATTGCATAACTGATAAGGGACTAGTATCTAGAATATATAAAGAACTATTATAACCCAACAATAAAAAGATAAGTAACCAATTTAAAAATGGACAAAGGATTGAAATAGTATTTCTCCAAAAAAGGTATATAAATGGCCAAAAAGTACATGAAAGGATGCTTGACGTCATTAGTCATTAGGAAAATGCAAATGTAAGTCACAATGAAATACCATTTCACATTAACTGGGATGGAAACAACAACAAAAAGATGGGGACTGTCTCTTCCTACAGCTGTTGTTACACACAGTTACGAGGTCAGGTGGGCAGCAGTCTCTTGCCTCCAGCCTGAGGAGGAAGCCAAAGCACAGAGGAAGGCATTGCTGGAGGGCAGAGCAGGTGAATGCATCCTAACTAACATAACTAAAAATAACCATACAGTTTCTAAAGGTAAACCTTATAATATCCCTAATTCATAATTTGGGAAGGTAGTCTTTGTCCTCTTCTATCTCCCTTTTCTCCATGAAGAACTTTAAAAAAATTGTAGTAAAATATATACAACATAAATTTTACCATTTTAACCATTTTAAGTGTATTATTCAGTGGCATTAAGTACATTGCTGCCCAACCATCACCATTATTCACTTCAGAACTTTTTATTATGCCAAAGTGAAACTGTGTACCATTAAACATAAAGAGGGGCTTTAAAAAAGATGGACAATAATAAGTGTTGACATGGAAAAACTGGAACCCTCATATATTGCTGGTGGGAATGTAAAATAATGCAGCTCCTTAGAGAACTGTCTGGTAGTTCCTCAAAATGGAAAACGTAGAGTTAACACTTGACCCTATAATTCTAGCCCTAGGCATATACCCAAGATAATTGAAAATATGTATCCACATGAATAGTTATAGAAACCAAAACGTAGAAACAGGCCAAAAGTGTCTTGGCACCTAACTGTCTATAAACTGATGGAGGGACAAACAAAGTGTAATATATCCATATAATGGAATATTACTCAGCCATAAAAAGAATAAAGTACTGATATATGCTACAATAAGGATGAACCTTGAAAACACTGTTTGGTGAAGGAAACCAGACACAAGAGGCCACCTACTGTATGATTTTATTTATATGAAATGTCCAGAATAGACAAATCCATAGAGACAGAAAGATTAGTTGTTGCCTAGGGCTGTGAGGGAGGAGAAATGTGAGTGACTGCTACTGGGGTTGGAGTTTCTTTTTGAGGTGATGAAAATGTTCTGGAATTAGATAGTGGTGATGGTTGCACAACTTTGACAATATGCTGAAAACCTCTGAATTGTACATTTTAAGAGAATAAATTTTATGGTATGTGAGTTAGGTCTCAATTTAAAAAAAGAAAGAAAACTTCCTTAATAAACACAAACCATATACCATGATGATCAGCAGCTCCTTGAAGGAAGGGCAAAACTCATTCTGGATCTATGAGTTCTGGTGAATCTTAAAAATACATATATCACTTCTAATGTTAGAAAAAATGCTCATGCTTAGCTTCCTATACTATGTTGAACTAATAACTAAGTGTTTTATTCATGTAATAATGATACACTTAACATTATTAGCCGTTCTTATGTGGCATTACTTCATTATGGATTTTGTTTTGTTTTTTAACTTGGTGAGTTTTGCCTACCTTCTGCCCTGGCTATGCTAGATGCCACTTTAGACCTTGGTCCTTAACTTACTGGGCCTTTCTTTGGGTGTTTTTATTCCAGTGCCTAGACTTATTTTTAACTCCTCGAGAGAGCACTGCCAAGGCCTCTGGCTCAGCGTGGCTGGGAGCCTGGTCAGTAGAGGAGGCCAAGGAGGCCTGTGGGAAGGAGTGTGAAGAATCCACATGCTGAAAATGAGGCCTCAGACAACAGTCTTCACTTAATGCTGATCTACAAATTAATTATAAATTTACTCTGATTTCAAATGTACTGGAGAAGCTTATTATTTAAAGAAGCTCAATGAGAGATCTTTTGCAAAGTAATTTGCAAATAGGGTTTGCTTTAGAAAAGCAAAATCTAGCACTATCATTTAACTTTTTAACAATTTGTATTTTTATCTATTGGCCTTTCTCAACTCTATTTACTTAGAAGTGAAAGAAAGAAACCTTAAAGTCTTAAATTTTTATGCCTTAATTTGCCTTCGGATTAGAATCGTACCTGTATTTCAATTACAAAAGCTATCTTGCCCCTTTTGTTTTGGAAAAATGACAGTTGTATACTCTTAGGATGTGATAAAATTTGGGGTACATTCTTCCAATGTAACTACACTGCCCTTCTCTCCCTGCCCAGACAACCAGTTGTGACCTGAAGCTGGAGTGGAGCCCTGGGGGCTCCAGTGTGGCCCAGTAAAGGTATGGTAGCTCTTCTTGAGAAGACCCCAGGAAATTAGCTCCTTTCAGCCTGTGTAATGAGCTAGTCAGCAATGACTCTGAAATGGACCCAAATTCTAGGGTGACTCCCCCTTGGCCTAACTTCTGGGGGTACATTAGACAAGCTGACCAAATGGTTAAGGACAGACAGATCCTCGAGTGTGACCACCTGGGTTCTCTAATCCAGGCCTAGCCAATTGGATCATGCTGCAGAACTCCCTGTAACAATGACGCAGCTGCTTACCTGGGCAGGAACACCTCCATTCTGGCTCTCCTCAGGCTGGAGGTCCAGATGTGGATGATGCTGGCTGTGAGGTGTGCTGATCAACGTAGCTCAGTGAGGCGTCTTTGTCACATGGCAGCACCAGGAGTAGACTCCCTGTACTTGCCGGGTAAGGAAGCTCCGGCAATCCCACCTGATGGCCCACAGAGTCCTGGAACTGGCCTGGAAGTTCAGTGGATGGGGGATTATATCTGTCCCAGTAGCCAAGGGAACTAAACAATGCCAGACTCTGGGAAGGGTAAACACACATAACTGGAAACAATGCATTTTATTAACGGGGTGTCCATCTCACTCTCAGGAAGCAGTTTGAAGCCGAAGTAGCTATGGCTACCTTTTCTGATTCTGGGACCTAGAATCTCTTAGGATACCCTCACAAGGCTTGAATCACAGGGCCTGCAGTGGTTGGGCATGGTAGGGACTATGATGTGCGGGAAAACCATAGACCTGTCTTAAAGGGGCAGCCACTACAATCTTGGCTTATTATGGCCATGTGGAGACTCAGGCTCTTTGTGCCAGATCTTCCTATCTTTGAATGAAAGCTGTAAATTCAGATGTCATATGAAATTTTATAATTTTTAAAACACTGCATAGGCCTAACACAACAATCCAACAGGCTGGATTTGACCTGGGGCAGATAATTTGTATCCTGTGACATAAACAAATAGGTCTCAGGTTGGACAGCTGGGAGCTTGTGGACAAAGGCAATGGCTGGTCAAGGACAAGTCCAACCCCTTAGGCAGAGCATGTTTTCAGAAGCATGTGGTGGGACAGGTGGCAGCAGATACAGATGGCCAGAGACAGGGAGAACCAGCAATGGTTGCTGGTGAATGGAGAGGCAGTGGCAAGACCCAGTGACGGGACAAGGAAGGCAAGTAATATGGAGCAATCCAGGCAGGCTGGGGAGAGCTGGCAGCCTCTGGGGAGCTCCAGGCCTGATCCCTTCCCTGGGAGGACAGCGAGGCCTGTGCCCTAGTGTTGGGGGACAGCAGAGATGGCTGGCCACTAAGGCAAAAATCTTAGGCTCAGTGGGGAAAGTCAGGGGCATCGGTCACATTCCTTACTTCAGCCTCTACTATGCACCAGCTACTGTGCAGTGCATGCTGGGAGAAACGAGCATCCCCACCCACTGGCCACCATGCAGCTGAAAGTCAGCTCATCCAGCATGGGTCACAGCCAGATCTTCAAGAACTATGGTGCATTGTAAATGTATATTTACTTATCCAATAGACACTGTTCCATTCCCATCTTCCTTGACCTCTAGTAATAATTATTGGTCAAATAAACAAAAATAAATACACTGAGCACTCATAATATGTCCAGCATGGAATCAAAGCAGGAGGAAAAGCAAGCTTTCTAAATGACAAAGTTCCCAAACACTGATTTACATTGCATTGACTTCTTCCTGGATGAGAACATTATTAGTCCCACAAGCTGGAGGGGGCTGAGCCTGCCAATGAAGGAGAGGAGGTGTGTGGGGCAGGATGGTGGGGTCCCTTTCTCTTGCCTGTTAGGACCCCACTAGTGTCCACACCACACACTAGTCTGCCAGAATGGGGGCTGCCTGGCCCTTGCTGACATGAGTGGCCATCAGGCAGGGTGGTCAAGCAGAGTGGTGGTATTTCAGGACCATGGCTTTCAGTGTGGGCCTGCTCTTGAGAACTTTTAGACATGACTCAATCTTCCATCCTTTCTCAGCACCACACAGTGAAGCAATATTCATTTTAAGGGAATATCAGCCAGGGGAGGGGTTTGGTCCAAACATTTTTGGTTTCACACTAACTTGTCCATTTACTGAGTGCAGAGGGAAATGTCAAGCATGAAATGGGTTTCTCTTCCCCATCTGCTTCCTCACTGTCCTCTCTGAGTCTCCTAGCTGCCCGATCGTTCCTTACTCCACGTAACGCACAGGAGAGGTAACCACAGAGGAACTCAGCCTGACTCCTTCAGAGCAGACACCTGGGCTCCTCCCGCTTTATACCCCTGTCTGGTGGAGAGTGAGCTCACCATAGTTGACCTCAGCCATTTGGTACATCATGGGGACCTGGAGGATGAGGCCTCAGGTGAAAGGCAGGACCTAAGTGTCTGTGGAGGGGAATCTCTGCCACCAGGAGCTTTGGAAAGACACGGTGCTTACAAGCGTCAGCTGAGCAAATGCTGCGCCACGTTGGTCCCACGTTGAGCCCTCTGGGCCCTCACCTGCAAGCGGGAGAGCAACTGTGTGGCTGACACCTGCGTACACATTCTAGAGGGTGCTGAGATATCACCAAAGTTTGGTTTGTAGCCTGCTTGTTAGTACCTATTAGTTACAGAATTGTGTTTATGACTAGCTGTTGCTGAAGACCAAGATTTAATTCTTTTCTGAACAGGTTGGGGTGCTTCAGCTGGTTCCAGATGGTCCCATCTTGGGCCGTTTCCCAGGAAGCATTAGGCATGCACTGCTCAGGCAGCCCCCTGGAAGGGACTGAGTGCTGTGCTGGGAGATGCTGCTCAATGTTACCCCCAGCCCACCCCACCCCCACCTCTCCCACAGCTGGGCCTCAGACAACAACTTCCAGGAAACGATCTTCAAATATAAATTTCTCCAGAGAGAGGAGCAGGCTGATCACCCTTCATGGGATGGTTTTTGCCCAGCCCTTTATTTATTTAATAAATGCATACTTTGTGCTAGATTCTGTTCTAAATGCTTTAACAAACCCTTACCAACCTCTCCTACCAGTTCTATTGTTATTCCCATTTTTACGGATGAGGACACCAAGGCTTGGAGAGGTTGTCCAAAGCCATGTACCATCAGTGGCAAAGGCAACATCCACCCAGTTGCTCAAAATAGAAACCTTAGATTTGAACCCAGTCAGCATGGCCCCAGACTCCAGCATCTTCATAGCTGCGGCAACTCCTCCTCTTTCTTAGAGGACATTTGTCCATGGGTTGAGAGCAGTTTACTGTGACCTTGACCCTGTGGCAACACAAGCTGAGACAGGAATTTTTAAGTCAGGGTAAGGTCTCTCAAGAGGACAAACTTCTGCTGCAATTGAAGGCAGCCCAAGTACCTATCTGCATGGCTTCTGACAAGTAATGGGTAGTATTTTGTTTTTTCAGCCACCTGACATTAGCCTCATTGAGGTGACGGTTTTCTCTTACCTGCGTTCTGCCTGAAGGCCCACTCCTTGGCCTGGACGGTGGTGCTATTGGACTCACTGAGGTTGGCTGGCTCCAGGCTGCAGTTGGCCTACCAGAAGGCCTGCTTCACAAAGCAGCGGGAGAGTGGCATCTCTGCTTGCACAAATAGGGTGCAGGCCAGCTCCATCTTGGTGCCTTGGCTGGAGTTGGGTAGTGTGGCATAAACAGCATGCAAGAAGTCTCTCACTATTTGGTCTATGAGAAAGGTATTTGGATAAATTGACAATGGTGTGAGTAGGGAGTTAGCACAACTCCGTTTGCACATTGCATTGAAATGTGGTCCCAGAAACTCTACTCGTTTCATAAGGTTCATCTACCATATAGAGCCAGTTTGGTAAAGTTGTAGCTAAACTGCACAGGAATTAGCCTTGATCTACAGATCCACAGAAGTTGGGGTTGGGAGGGAGGACCATGCTATATCTGAAAGAAATCTGGCTGTGATTAAGCTAAACACAAAAACTACACACATCTCAGAGGTTATTTTCCCTTAACTTCTTGATTCAGAAAAGTTGATCAGTGCTAGAGTAGAGAGGACTGGGAAAAGCTGCAGGTCTAGTGTGCAGGGTGATGGAGCTTCAGATACTTACAAAGTCAACCAATTTATGGGAAAAGTCACAAGTAACAGTGATAGACAGTGGCCAGGGTGAAAAAATGGTCAATATATCTGGTACAGGGTCTAAAATCCATCTCTATGACTGCATATCACAAGCCCAAGTGACATTTGGATGCATCAGAACTGTATTTTCAATTGGAGAAACACAGAGGAAAAGAATGCCTCCCATCCCCCACTCCCTAAAAACCAGCAGATAGCTTGTGTTATTATTGTCAGTAAGAGCCTGCAAGAAGGTTGAGGAAATAATCAACATTTGAGAGAGTTGATAGTTTCCACTTTCTTGGATGACAGCTGGACTTCTATTTATTTACTGCTTTACAGGAGACTGTTTCCTTCCCTCCCTCCATAATCAATAGCAGGTTTCTTTTTCACCCTATTATCCACAACAGTGGCTTCTCTTCTCCCCTAGTCATCTGCAGCTGGAGCACTGCCTCGCCTGCTGCTGAGTCAGAACACAGCTGAGTATCCCAAGCGTCCTGCTCCTGATACATGTGGGCTGGACTTTTCCAGCAGTCAGGTGTCCTTTCTGGGCAGGCTGGCTCTGGAACACGCCCTTTCCTTGTCTCCCTCATCACTCCTTCCTTTTAGGCACAGTCATGTGGCTGTCCACAAATCTCCCCTGTGAGACACATGATTTGTACCCTCTTTCTGCACCGCCCTGCCCCGGCCAGTTCTCTCAGGATACTTGCTGGAATGTATCTCTGACTTGCCTTGGGATGCATCCACTCCAACACCCTTCATGTCACAGAGGCCAGGCCACGAGGCAGCGGCAGACTCTCTACTTGCTTGGCCAAAGTTCTCTGGAGGAGCACAGGCACCCAGAACATACCTTTGCCAAGGCCCCAGCCGCCAGACACAGAACACAGTTGTGGACAGATTTCACTCGTCCGTAAAACTTTACCACCAATACAACTGTAAAAAATGGACTCAGGAGATTTTATATATCTATAAATATATGTCTATATATAGATATATATCTGATGTGATATATACATATATCATGAATTATAGCAGAACTCCAATGCTTGCCTTTTATTTTAGTGAGAAAAGAGATGAATGAAAAAATACTCATCAAATTGTCCTCTTCTGAATCACGTTCCTGTGAAATGTTGACTGTCTGCAGGGGTGAACTGAGTCACTTCAGTGGTCCATTCTGTAGTGTGACCTTAGGGATGGGCCAGGGGACCAATGCTTTTTTTTTAAGCTGGACACAGCTTAAAAGTAGCAGAATACATTGGCTTCAGAAATTTTTTCTCCACCTGAGCCTAGTCTGTGCCTGCCCATCTGCACACAGGAAGAGCTTTTCTAGACACCAGAATAAAAAGTAGTGAAGGTTGATGGTGTTCCCAGACTGTGCCAAATGCTCCACATTCAGAATCACATTTAATCCTTTCAACAACCCTGGACGTAAATGCTATTATGATCCCCACTTATAGATGAGGGAGCTGGGCTCAGACAAATGAATAAACTTGCTCAGTGTCATTGGAATGTCAGAGGTGGCTCTTCACTGCTCTACTGCCCACAGATGAAGGACAGGCGGGCTGGGAGCACTCTGGTCTCCTGCTCAGGAGAGGCTTTTCCTTTTGAGATGAATGTGGGCACAAAGCGCCATGGAGCACTAAGCTCCGATTTTGCCTTAGCGCCATACATTTCCTAGGTCCTTATCGGTTACGGGGCAAAAGGGACTAATGTGAGTGCTCCTCTCCCACAGCCCTTGTAGGAGAACCCTGCCACTGCTGGCTTCATTCCTGCCGGCCTCCCACTCCTAGAAAGCCGCCTTTCTTGCTGGACAGGGGTGAGGTGGCTTTATTGGAATGCTGAGCAGGGAGGGAGGCAGAGGGAAAATCATGGGGGCTATAGAGGTCAGGAATGTCCTGAAGGAGGTGTGGAGAGTTTGAGGAGACGGTCTCTGAAATGGGTGCAGAGTGGGAAGAAAGTGACAGAAGAAAAAATGATATTTTCATGGGTCTTGCTGCAGACCAGCCTTTTAACTCATTTGCAAGGCCAGCGTGGAGAGTGCCTCCCTTTTTAATACATTTGCTGAACTGAACTTCTTGAATGTAACACTGCATTTGATGGATCCTGACTTTGTAAGGTTAATGTACATAAAATTCTCAAACTACAAAAACTGTCTTTATGATGCTGATGTTTTAATTGACTGCAAATTAAAAGAGAGTTAAGTTTAGGATGGCATCCTAAGGGTTTGTTTGGTCTGAGAGAGTAACAGGATACCTCTGATGAAAACTAGAGATGCAAGGTGCATATGTATTTATGTAACTGCTCAGTGGCTTAGAGTGGGGCTAAGGAATTGTGGAAAGAACATAGGATTAGGAGTCAGAGAATCTGAGACTTGAATCCTGGCTCTGCTACTTGCCCATTAGGTGAACTGAGTCTTGTCAAATCATTAACCTCTTGTCTCGTTTGTAAAATGGGGATTATTAATGGAGGCCTAGAGATTGTATGTGGTTTCTATGAGGATCAAATTACAAAATAAATGTAAAAGTAAAATCCACACACAACATCAAACAGAATTCCCTCCCAGGGACCAGGCCGCCTTCATTTCTGAGGCCTCTGTTCTTAGCATCATTCTCATGCTTGACAGAAAACTGTAAAGTGTTCTTTATTAATTTATCTAGAAAAGCAATGGAAATCCATTGAAATTAGGGCATTGGGAAATCGTGCATTTCATGTGGTGAAAACAAAGGTACTCTCGTGATATCACTGGTGTCTGCTCTGAGTCTCAGGCTGTGCCTATCTGACCAGCAGGTGGGAATACTGGCAAAGTTCCTGGTTGTCACACATTGGCTGGATACACAGTGAGATGACAGTGCTCATGTGTCCTACTGCAAACTTGGCTAGATCTTTCTGTTGATTAAACAAAAACAATGCCCCAAGACCCCAGATTGTGCTTTAATGCTGCTTGTTATTTATTGGTCTGTATTGACTTTTGAAAAGAAAGACTAGGCTAAGGCAGGTGATGAGTGTTTTAAGCAGCACACACATGGTTCCCTGAGCTATCTTGGCGCAAATCAAACTATGGGGTATTCTGTTAACTAGAACTCTGTAAGTGGCACATCCCTATTCATAATAATTAACCATGCCCCCGTAAGATAATAAAGCAGTTTTTGAGCAAGAGGGAAAAAAAGTGGGATTATGTTTCAGAGTTTGACTATTAAGCATTCTTTTTTTTTAAGCATTCTTGACATTCGTAATTCTTGAATGGGCTCCATGGAAACCCTGCAATTATCATATTTGGTTAACCAGGTACTGTGATTGTACCCGACAACAGAGAAGTGACTATGATCACTCCCCTTGCTCTGCAGAATTGCTACACTTGCATTTCTTGCTTTTTTCTTAATCCTGACCTCCCAGAGACTCTGCTCTAAGTTAGGCTAAAATGCCTGCCCCTCTTTCATATTTCTATTTGGTCTTTATAACCCAGTTTAGATGTTGTCTTCTGGGAGCCTTCCTGATTTGCCAGTGGAATAAATCATCCTCCCACTGCTCTTCAGTACTAACTGATTTCAAATAAATACACTTACTGCCCTGTGTTAGATTGTATTTCCAGGTGCATCAGTCTTGTGAGACCTACTTGTGCTCAGAGTTTTCTTTATAGATCTGGATGCTGAGTTCCTGGCACAGCCCGGCCACACAGCAAGAGCTCAAGAGTACTTGATGAATTGCATTACACTGAGTCTAATGTGGCTGACGAATAACTCCATGGATGTGTCCATGTTCGTGATATACAAAAATTAAGCTCAATAACCTATGTTTGTTTTTGGTTACCCCCCCCCCCAGAGAGAAAACACATTTATGTTTTGTCCTACAGGTTCACGAGAATTGTTTTGGCAGGGGACTGGGTGTAGATGAAAGGGGATGGGAAGCACAGCTGGTGCGGTGGCCTGACATCTTCAGTGCTCACCTTTGTGTGCCACCGCAAGATTCCAGCTCAAAGGAAGTTCTCACCAAGACTGTGTTGGTATTAGTTCTTGTACTTTCTAAAAAATATTAACTTACACAATTGTAACTCCCATCGTTTTTTATTGACAACTTATTCTAAGAGAAGAAAAAATTATGTGGATGAGTGTGTTAGAAGGCAGTAAGTAGGTCAATACCAAGCCAGGCATTAAGCCAGAGGCTGTGGGTGTCGGCCAGGTGTGTCTGACGTGGCATTCATGAGAATTTTGCCACTGCTGGTAGAACTGCTCTAAAATACATAATCATAAAAATATGTGGGTAGAGATGGCACTGGCTACAAGTCACAATTTATGAAAGCAGTTTGGTCAAGAGCATGGGTTCTGGAGGCAGACAGCCTGGGCTTGAGTCTCAACTCTGCCACTCACTAGCTGTGTGACCTTGGGCAAGTTGCTTAAACTTTCTGTGCCTATTTGCTCATCTCTAAAATGAAGATGATGATATAATTACCTACTTCAATAAGGCTGTGGTGACAATTAATTAAAGTAATATTTGTGAGGTGCTTCGAACACGGCCTGACACCTAGTAAGCACTGTAAAAAGGCTTGTGAAGTGAAACTGAAAAATTGCCATGGAATCCGAGGTTAAAAGAGAACCTTAAAAAATCGTCAGGGGTAACCGGGACCCAAAGTTTAAATGCTTTCTGTTACATTCCTGCCTAGCGGTCCTCCCCCTCTAGGGGCCCAGCACTGGTAGCTGGAAGCTCCCCATCTCCCAAGGCAGACT